CATTTTCAATAAAAACTGCAGAAGAAAAATATTAAATAAATGTGGATATCTACATAAAATTATATTATAAACACACTATCCTAAAAATACAGCACCATATTTTAACACTAAAGCAGTGATTGACTCGCAACAACTTGCAATCATAAGTGACAGAGTTAATTTCGGGTAAATCAATGAAAAATGGGATATGCCGATAGCATAAAAATGAGATGTGATAGAGCAAATCTGAGATCAGATTTGGAATCAGCACACTGAAATTAGTCTAAAACAGTTGCAAAAGTCCAGGCCAGAAAAAAATATTTTTTTTGTTGACCAGTGTTATTGTATTTAGTTTTATTTCCTTCTCCCACACCTATAATTAAAACAGTTGGCTAAGTACGGTGCCAAAGAAGTGCAAGACACATGCACACGTCAGAATACAACATAAAAGCGTTGCGTAATTACATGCTCACTGACTGGCCCAATCACGCAGTCATGCAATCACACGTTCACTTGTCCACTCACTCAACCACTCACTCACCCACTTACTCACCCACTTATACACCCACTCACTCATTCACCCACCCTCCCACTCGCCCACTCATTCACCCATCCTCACACTCGCCGACTCTCTCACACACACTTCAGAATACTTCCCTGACTCGTGCAAACTGGGCTAATAAACTATTTTTAAAGGACGATCCCGCCGGCAATTGTGGGCAAGTTTTTTCGTCGTTGGCCCTCCCCAACTCGTTGCCTGCCATGAAACCCAGCAACGAAAATAAAAAGAAAAGCATTTTTTTTAGAAATGGCAAAAGAAAAATCTATATTTCAATAGCCACTACAATGCAGGTTATTACAAGACGTGTGCATGTCTTGCAATTATTTGGCACCGTTCTTAGCCAACCGTTTTAATCATAGGTGCGGGAGAAGGAAATCAAACTAAATACAGTAATCATCAGTTTTAAAGAAATTAGTTTGTTATTCTCGATTATTTAACAGCACATAACTCTAGTGGCTTCCTAACCAAACCGGATCAGTCTTGCACTCAGACGGCAGCTGGTGGGATGCGTTGTGCATGGCTTGTACGAGTGACAGAACTGGCGAGACCTGCATTTCTGTATGGGGGTGTTTTTTTTGCAATCAGGTTGATGGGTTACATTTTGAAGGCATGTTTCAAATTCTGCATGAAGCTCATTTTTGGTTTTTTTCCATGCGTCAATCGGTGCCCTGGACACCCTTTAGTAAATGAGAGGTTCCATCTGGTGGGACATTTCCCAGGTTATTTTTTTTTTAACCACAAGCCACCCTCATTGCTTTGGAAACGGTGATGGTCTTGCATGCGGTTAACTTGCATAGGGGGTAAAAACAAGTCAGCTCAGCTTGTGAAAAAATAAAATTAACTAGTTAAGGAGCACAGAGTTGCGGGATGTGAGCAAATGTCGTTCCAACAAAGACAACTCGCCCACCACTCGCACCAAATATAATTTATTTCAACGGTTCCTCTACTTTGTATTCATTTATTTACGATGCACATATTTTTCATGTTATATATTAATTGAGTATTGTTTCACTTTATATTTCCCATTCAGTATTAGCTGCTTAGGTCGTGATGTTTTTTTTTCAATTATTGTTCTATGCCCTCTCTACGGTCAACGTCCTGCTGTAGCATGCACCGATGCCTACTTTAGTGAGTGTGATAGTGAGGGAAAAAAGTATTTGATCCCCTGCTGATTTTGTACGGTTGCCTCTGACAAAGAAATTATCAGTCTATAATTTTAATGGTATGTTTGTTTGAACAGTGAGGGACAGAATAACAACAAAAATCCAGGAAAACACATGTCAAAAATGTTTTAAATTGATTTGCATTTTAATAAGGGAAATAAGTTTTTGACCCCCTCTCAATCAGAAAGATTTCTGGCTCCCAGGTGTCTTTTTACAGGTATCGAGCTGAGATTAGGAGCACACTATTAAAGGGAGTGCTCCTAATCTCAGCGTGTTACCTGCATAAAATACACCTGTTCACAGAAGCAATCAATCAGATTCCAAACTCTCCACCATGGCCAAGACCAAAGAGCTCTCCAAGGATGTCAGGAACAAGATTGTAGACCTACACAAGGATGGAATGTTCACAAGACCATCGCCAAGCAGCTTGGTGAGAAGGTGAAAAAAGTTGGTGCGATTATTCGCAAATGGAAGAAACACAAAAGAACTGTCAATCTCCCTCGGCCTGGGGCTTCATGCAAGATCTCACCTCGTGGAGTTGCAATGATCATGAGAACGGTGAGGAATCAGCCCAGAACTACACGGGAGGATCTTGTCAATGATCTCAAGGCAGCTGGGACCATAGTCAACCAAGAAAACAGTTGGTAACACACTACGCCGTGAAGGATTGAAATCCTGCAGCGCCCGCAAGGTCCCCCTGCTCAAGAAAGCACATATACATGCCCATCTGAAGGTTTCCAATGAACATCATCACAACACGCTGCCCCTCTGGCGTGTTGAGACACAGCGTGGTGCAATGCACAGGCATCATGGCAGCTAAAAAAGACTGACGGCCGCTCCTCAAGGTTTTTCAGAACAACCAGACGTGTACTTCCCCAAGTAATCCCATTGTCCGAAGAAGTTATTTGTTTTCAAGGGCGACTTTGCCAGAAGACAACATAAATACGTTCCGTAATTACATACCCATTGACTGGCCCAATCACACAGTCATGCAATCACACGTTCACTTGTCCACTCACTCACCCACTCAAACACCCACGTATACACTCACTCATTCACCCACCCTCCCACTCGCCCACTCATTCACCCATCCTCCCACTCGCCTACTCTCTCACACACACTTCAGAATCACTTCCCTGACTCGTGCAAACTGGGCTAAGAAACTCTTTTTAAAGGACGATCCCGCCGGCAATTGTGGGCAAGTTGTTTGTCGTTGGCCCTCCCCAACTATTTGCCTGCCATGAGACCCAGCAACGAAAATAACAAGAAAAGCCATTTTTTTGAAATGGCAAAAAAAAAGATCTATTTCAAGAGCCACTACAATGCAGGTCATTACAAGACGTGTGCATGTGTCTTGCACTTCTTTGGCACCGTACTTAGCCAACCGTTTTAATCATAGGTGCGGGAGAAGGAAATGAAACTAAATACAATGATCATCAGTTTAAATGAAATTAGTTTGTTAATCTCGATTATTTAACAGCACATAACTCTAGTGGCTTCCGAACCAAACCGGATCAGTCTTGTACTCAGACGGCAGCTGGTGGGATGCATTGTGCATGGCTTGTATGAGTGACAGAACTGGCGAGATCTGCATTTCTGTATGGGGGTATTTTTTAAATCCTTTATATTAAGTTCGCGTGCTTGCTTGCTTGCTTAGGACCGTGCAAATCTTTCGGTCGTTTTTTAACCCACTTCACGTGATCCAATCGAGCTGACATTTTCCACACAGACTCGTTATGCCAGACAATTATTGTTCGTGAAAAAAAATTCCCAAAATTTTACACTTTTTAGGCAAAAAAAATGTATTTTACATATATTCAAATAGAACGCATTCATGGCTTTGGCTGAACATCACAGTGCAAGAGCCCAGAGCGTAACCCCTCCACAGGCCGTGGCGGAGTAGCGCAGTTGGTAGCGCCCTCGCTTCCCATGCCAAAGGTCGCGGGATCGATCCCTGCGTCCTCCACAGGCGAATATATTTTTAAATCCTTTATATTAAGTTCGCTTGCTTGCTTAGGACCGTGCAAATCTTTTGCTCGTTTTTTAACCCACTTCCCGTGATCCAATCGAGCTGACATTTTCCACACGTTGTGTGTGACAATTAATTTTCGTGAAATTTTTTTTCCTAAATTTTAAACTGTTTTGGGAAAACTAATTAAATATTTAATTACCAATTGCTTAATACTGGCAGACAATCATCTGACTCATAGATTGCAGCCATCTCAAGCCAGAGGACGAGAGAACTCTAGCCGCCACGCATATAAAGGATTTAGAGTGAAAAACTTTGTTTTTACGGGTTTACTTGTTTGCAATCGGGTTGATGGGTTACATTTTGAAGGCATGTTTTAAATTCTGCATGAAGCTCATTCTTGGTTTTTTTCCATGCGTCAATCGGTGCCCTGGACACCCTTTAGTTAATGAGAGGTTCCATCTGGGAGGACATTTCCCAGGTGAATTTTTTTTTTACCACGAGCCACCCTCATTGCTTTGGAAACGGTGATCGTCTTGCATGCGGTTAACTTGCATAGGGGGTAAAAACAAGTCAGCTCAGCTTGTGAAAAAATCAAATTAATCCGTTAAGGAGCACAGAGTTGTGGGATGGGAGCAAATGTTGTTCCAACAAAGACAACTCGCCCACCACTCGCACCAAATATAATTTATTTCAACGGTTCCTCTACTTTTAATTCATTTATTTATGATGTACATATTTTTCATGTTATATATTAATTGCGTGTTGTTTCACTTTATTTTTCCCATTCAGTGTTAGCTGCTTAGGTCGTGATGGGGTTTTTTCAATTTTTGTCCTATGCCCTTTCTACGGTCACCGTCCTGCTGTAGCATGCACCGATGCCTACTTTAGTGAGGGTGATAGTGAGGGAAAAAAGTATTTGATCCCCTGCTGATTGTGTACGTTTGCCTGTTACCTGCATAAAATACACCTGTTCACAGAAGCAATCAGTCGGATTCCAAACTCTCCACCATGGCCAAGACCAAAGAGCTCTCCAAGGATGTCAGGGACAAGATTGTAGACCTACCCAAGGCTGTAATGTTCACAAGACCATCGCCAAGCAGCTTGGTGAGAAGGTGATAAAAGTTGGTGCGATTATTCGCAAATGGAAGAAACACGAAAGAACTGTCAATCTCCCTCGGCCTGGGGCCCCATGCAAGATCTCATCTCGTGGAGTTGCAATGATCATGAGAATGGTGAGGAATCAGCCCAGAACTACACGGGAGGATCTTGTCAATGATCTCAAGGCAGCTGCGACCATAGTCACCAAAAAACAGTTGGTAACACACTACGCCGTGAAGGACTGAAATCCTGCGGCGCCCGTCAAGGTCCCCTGCTCAAGAAAGCACATATACATGCCCATCTGAAGTTTGCTAATGAAAATCATCACAACACGCTGCCCCTCTGGCGTGTTGATGCACAGCGTGGTGCAATGCGCATGCATCATGGCAGCTAACAAGTAAACCCGTAAAAACAAAGTTTTTCACTCTAAATCCTTTATATGCGTGGCGGCTAGAGTTCTCTCGTCCTCTGGCTTGAGATGGCTGCAATCTATGGGTCAGATGATTGTCTGCCAGTATTAAGCAATTGGTAATTAAATATTTAATTAGTTTTCCCTAAACTGTGTAAAATTTTGGAAAAAAATTTCACGAAAATGTATTGTCACACACAACGAGTCTGTGTGGAAAATGTCAGCTCGATTGGATCAAGGGAAGTGGGTTAAAAAACGAGCGAAAGATTTGCACGGTCCTAACCAAGCAAGCGAACTTAATATAAAGGATTTAAAAATATATTCGCCTGTGGAGGACGCGGGGATCGATCCCGCGACCTTTGGCATGGGAAGCGAGGGCGCTACTAACTGCACTACTCCACCACGGCCTGTGGAGGGGTTACGCTCTGGGCTCTTGCACTGTGATGTTCAGCCAAAGCCATGAATGCGTTCTATTTGAATATATGTAAAATAAAATAATTTTGCCTAAAAAGTGTAAAATTTTGGGAATTTTTTTTCACGAACAATAATTGTCTGGCACAACGAGTCTGTGTGGAAAATGTCAGCTCGATTGGATCACGGGAAGTGGGTTAAAAAACGACCGAAAGATTTGCACGGTCCTAAGCAAGCAAGCAAGCACGCGAACTTAATATAAAGGATTTAAAAAGACTGACGGCCGCTCCTCAAGGCTTTTCAGAACAACCAGAAGTGTACTTCCCCAAGTAGATCCCATTGTCCGAAGAAGTTATTTGTTTTCAAGGTCGACTTTGCCAGAAGACAACATAAAAGCCTTCCGTAATTACATACCCATTGACTGGCCCAATCACACAGTCATGCAATCACACGTTCACTTGTCCACTCACTCACCCACTTATACACCCACTAACTCATTCACCCACCCTCCCACTCGCCCACTCATTCACCCATCCTCCCACTCGCCTACTCTCTCACACACACTTCAGAATCACTTCCCTGACTCATGCAAACTGGGCTAACAAACTATTTTTAAAGGACGATCCCGCCGGCAATTGTGGGCAAGTTTTTTGTCGTTGGCCCTCCCCAACTCTTTGCCTGCCATGAGACCCAGCAACAAAAATAACAAGAAAAGCCATTTTTTAGAAATGGCAAAAAAGAAAAATCTATATTTCAAGAGCCACTACAATGCAGGTCATTACAAGACGTGTGCATGTGTCTTGCAATTCTTTGGCAGCGTACTTAGCCAACCGTGTTAATCATAGATGCGGGAGAAGGAAATCAAACTAAATACAATGATCATCAGTTTTAATGAAATTAGTTTGTTAATCTCAATTATTTAACAGCACATAAGTCTAGTGGCTTCCTAACCAAACCGGATCAGTCTTGCACTCAGACGGCAGCTGGTGGGATGCGTTGTGCATGGCTTGTACGAGTGACAGAACTGGCGAGACCTGCATTTCTGTATGGTGGTGTTTTTTGCAATCGGGTTGATGGGTTACATTTGGAAGGCATGTTTTAAATTCTGCATGAAGTTCATTTTTGTTTTTTTTTTCATGCGTCAATCGGTGCCCTGGACACCCTTTAGTTAATGAGAGGTTCCATCTGGGGGACATTTCCCAGGTGAATTTCTTTTTTTACCACAAACCACCCTCATTGCTTTGGAAACGGTGATCGTCTTGCATGCGGTTAACTTGCATAGGGGGTAAAAACAAGTCAGCTCAGCTTGTGAAAAAATCAAATTAATCCGTTAAGGAGCACAGAGTTGTGTGATGGGAGCAAATGTCGTTCTAGCAAAGACAACTCGCCCACCACTCGCACCAAATATAATTTATTTCAACGGTTCCTCTACTTTTTATTCATTTATTTACGATGTACATATTTTTCATGTTATATATTAATTGCGTGTTGTTTCACTTTATTTTTCCCATTCAGTGTTAGCTGCTTAGGTCGTGATGGGTTTTTTTCAATTTTTGTTCTATGCCCTTTCTACGGTCACCGTCCTGCTGTAGCATGCACCGATGCCTAATTTAGTGAGGGTGATAGTGAGGGAAAAAAGTATTTGATCCCCTGCTGATTTTGTACGTTTGCCCACTGACAAAGAAATTATCAGTCTATAATTTTAATGGTATGTTTGTTTGAACAGTGAGAGACAGAATAACAACAACAAAAATCCAGAAAACACATGTCAAAAATGTTAAAAGTTGATTTGCATTTTAATGAGAGAAATAAGTATTTGACCCCCTCTCAATCAGAAAGATTTCTGGCTTCCAGGTGTCTTTTTTACAGGTAACGAGCTGATATTAGGAGCCACACTCTTAAAGGGAGTGCTCCTAATCTCAGCGTGTTACCTGCATAAAATACACCTGTTCACAGAAGCAATCAATCAGATTCCTAACTCTCCACCATGGCCAAGACCAAAGAGCTCTCCAAGGATGTCAGGGACAAGATTCTAGACCTACCCAAGGCTGTAATGTTCACAAGACCATCGCCAAGCAGCTTGGTGAGAAGGTGATAAAAGTTGGTGCGATTATTCGCAAATGGAAGAAACACAAAAGAACTGTCAATCTCCCTCGGCCTGGGGCCCCATGCAAGATCTCATCTCGTGGAGTTGCAATGATCATGAGAACGGTGAGGAATCAGCCCAGAACTACACGGGAGGATCTTGTCAATGATCTCAAGGCAGCTGCGACCATAGTCACCAAAAAAACAGTTGGTAACACACTGCGCCGTGAAGGACTGAAATCCTGCGGCGCCCGCAAGGTCCCCTACTCAAGAAAGCACATATACATGGCCATCTGAAGTTTGCCAATGAAAATCATCACAACACGCTGCCCCTCTGGCGTGTTGATGCACAGCGTGGTGCAATGCGCAGGCATCATGGCAGCTAAAAAAGACTGACGGCCGCTCCTCAAGGCGTTTCAGAACAACCAGAAGTGTACTTCCCCAAGTAGATCCCATTGTCCGAAGAAGTTATTTGTTTTCAAGGGCGACTTTGCCAGAAGACAACATAAAAGCGTTCCGTAATTACATACCCATTGACTGGCCCAATCACACAGTCATGCAATCACACGTTCACTTGTCCACTCACTCACCCACGTATACACCGACGCACTCATTCACCCACCCTTCCACTCGCCCACCCTCCCACTCGCCCACTCATTCACCCATCCTCCCACTCGCCTACTCTCTCACACACACTTCAGAATCACTTCCCTGACTCATGCAAACTGGGCTAACAAACTCTTTTTAAAGGACGATCCCGCCGGCAATTGTGGGCAAGCTTTTTTGTCGTTGGCCCTCCCCAACTCTTTGCCTGCCATGAGACCCAGCAACAAAAATAACAAGAAAAGCCATTTTTTAGAAATGGCAAAAAAGAAAAATCTATATTTCAAGAGCCACTACAATGCAGGTCATTACAAGACGTGTGCATGTGTCTTGCAATTCTTTGGCAGCGTACTTAGCCAACCGTGTTAATCATAGATGCGGGAGAAGGAAATCAAACTAAATACAATGATCATCAGTTTTAATGAAATTAGTTTGTTAATCTCGATTATTTAACAGCACATAAGTCTAGTGGCTTCCTAACCAAACCGGATCAGTCTTGCACTCAGACGGCAGCTGGTGGAATGCGTTGTGCATGGCTTGTACGAGTGACAGAACTGGCGAGACCTGCATTTCTGTATGGTGGTGTTTTTTGCATTCGGGTTGATGGGTTACATTTTGAAGGCATGTTTTAAATTCTGCATGAAGCTCATTTTTGTTTTTTTTCCCATGCGTCAATCGGTGCCCTGGACACCCTTTAGTTAATGAGAGGTTCCATCTGGGGGACATTTCCCAGGTGAATATCTTTTATTACCACAAACCACCATCATTGCTTTGGAAACGGTGATCGTCTTGCATTCGGTTAACTTGTATAGGGGGTAAAAACAAGTCAGCTCAGCTTGTGAAAAAATTAAATTAATCCGTTAAGGAGCACAGAGTTGTGTGATGGGAGCAAATGTCGTTCTAACAAAGACAATTCGCCCACCACTCGCACCAAATATAATTTATTTCAACGGTTCCTCTACTTTTTATTCATTTATTTACGATGTACATATTTTTCATGTTATATATTAATTGCGTGTTGTTTCACTTTTTTTTCCCCATTCAGTGTTAGCTGCTTAGGTCGTGATGGGTTTTTTTCAATTATTGTTCTATGTCCTCTCTACGGTCACGGTCCTGCTGTAGCATGCACCGATGCCTACTTTAGTGAGGGTGATAGTGAGGGAAAAAAGTATTTGATCCCCTGCTGATTTTGTACGTTTGCCCACTGACAAAGAAATTATTTGTGTTTGATCCCCTGCTGACTTTGTACGTTTGTGTTCACAGATGTTGCAGTGGTGAGGGGCGGGCGTGGGGGTAGCGCGTGGGGGGGTGGGGGGAGAGGAGGAGGGGTGACGTGGTAATGTCACAGCGTTGGGGGAGCGTGCGTGGAGACGTCACCACGTCCATGTCGCGGCAGCAGATAACTTGAACAGCTCGGACATTGTTGGTGCCTTTTGTGTTTGGCGCCATCTCTTTAATTGTTTATTAATTTGTAGATTTAATTTGCTTGGCAGTGGCTGTGTAGATTATTTGGTCCTCGTGTTTAATTAATGAACAGAGTTGCAGGATGCAGTGAGCACTACATTGTTGTTTGTGTTTTTATTGTATAATCGACTATACAAGAGTTACAACGCCAATGTCGTACGCGTACATTTTTACTTTTTTAAATTAATATTATTACTGTATCGCTCCCACAATGCATGACACCACCTATGGACAAACACATCCCAGTTCACCATTGCTAATCACTGCACTCCTACACTATAGTCACACTCCTCTGCCAGGGTGAATACATCCATGTTAGCTTCACACATACACAGAGCAATATCTATTCCCCCCCACCCCTATGGTTGTTTACGCCCCCCCCCCTCCGTTGTGATGGAGAGCCACCAGCCAGTCACGGGCGTGGCACTGCGTGTGACGGTGACGAGGGTGGCGAGCGCCGTGCGTCGTGGCGTCTGCCCTGTTCACGTTCACATCTCTCAGGACGCACCACTCAGATCCACGATCCTCACTGAGTCATCCCACACTGCCAGCCCAGGATGTAGGGATTGAGTGAAGGTTTGGTGAAATGAGTGCAACGGCGCCATGGAGTCGGCGCTGTAAAACGACAGCAGCCCCGCGTCCCAGTCCAGATGAACCCCAACTCTCAGAAAAGGCTCCGGCACCGACAGTGAGGTCGCTACCCCACCATGCATCACTGAGAAGCTGTTGCCATCTTTCTGGAGACACCAGGAGACGTAACTCACTCCCAGGACACATTCACTACCACTCCCTCTCCGTGGGATCGTCCCGTACGCGACTCCAACCCGACACAGCCTCGCGCTCCCCACGTCCACCTCCCAGTAGTGCTGACCCGACGAGAAGCTCTCAGAGCACAGGGCTTGTGGCCAGTACTCAAAGCGGTGTGGGTGATGGGTCGACCCTGGGGACACCGCTCCATGTCACCGTCCTGAGGTCCGAGGAAATCTGGAGGTCGTCGTGGGCTGAGTTTGTGTCCAGAGTTGGTGAGCGTCCATCTGTGGTATGGACAGCGACGACGCTCGCACAGCGGTCACGGCGATGCGTGTGCAGTAGCGGCACAAGCAGTGCCTGAGCAGTGCACGTGGCGCGTACACACACATGCTGGTGTTGTGTTGTCTGTTGTGTTGTTGTGGTTATACCGCAGTGTATGATACATTGATACGTAACACTGTGACTATCACGTGTATTACAAATGCATACATGACTAATATTCATTAGTATTTGTATACACAAATTAATATTCGTTAGTGTTAGTGTACATACACTAATATTCGTAAGTATCTGTGTACACGTGTAGTGACTTCGCTCATGTCACTGTATTGTGCGGGCCTAAGAGGGGCACGGCATGCGATGTACTCACATCGCGGACATCACGTATGTAGCAACATCGTGAATACTTTTTGGTTCTTTGGTTAAAGTCGCGTAGGAAGAAGATTAATAGCTCACGACGTTTCGATCGCAACACAAGCAATCGTCATCAGGTGGACAACCAGAGCAAGAAAAAACTGCTGAAATAGGTTTTCTTGCTGTGGTTGTCCCACCTGATGACAATTGCTTGTGTTGCGATCGAAACGTCGTGATCTATTAATTTTCTACCTACGTTACTTTATTGAAAGAACCAAAGAGTATGGATCCCTGCAGTCACAAAAGCTTCAAATCAAGATTTAACATCGTGAATGTCACCGAGCAATGCCGGCTCCAGCAAGGCACGGCATGCGATGATTGTCATCGCGGACACCCTGTAGGTGGGTGTAGTACCAGCCCTAGTGAGGGCTTGGTGAGCGCTGGATAGCGCAATGGTACCACGCGTGGCATGCAGTGCTGCCTCCTACCGGAGGAAGTGGGAGAGTGTCAGCCAAGGTACAAGGTTACCCCTGGGTCATGGCACTGGTTGACCCTAAGGCATGTGACCGGTAAAGTCTACATGGGGCCCCAGGTAGGGGCTAGAGGGTGGTCACGGGCCGGGGTGGAAAGATCCTACGGGAAGCGTCGAGAGAGAGCTAGGACTCTCTCGAGTTGGGCGTGGCCAAAGGCGGGGCTGGCCACGACCCGGGAGCATATTAGCGGGGTCCCTACAGGGACCGAGGTTTAGTGTTGCTACCGTCATCTGAAAATCTATGTTCACGTCGAAGAAGAGTCTCCAACACGTGGACCCGGACCCGAGCCTAGGTCCGATCCATTGTAGCTAACTCCCAGTGTGTAAATGTAGTTAGCCGGGTGGTCCACCACCCTAGGCTGTTATCTGGTAAAGGGTCAGCTACCCCTTTGTGTATTACGTGTTGGTGTAATAAATGTGTTGCCTCTAAGAAGTATGTCTGCGACTCAGTTGAATCCACTACACACGTACTAATATCCGTTAGTATATGTGTACATATACTAGTATTCGTTAGTTATAGTGTACAAATTCATATTCGTTAGTATCTGTGTACACATACAGGTATTCGTTTGCATTAGTGTACACATACTCATCAGAGTAGCAGCACAATCTCCGATAGCCTAAAATCGGTACTAGCTAGAGGGCTGAATTTTATTTTGCTGTCACCCCCAAACACATCCCAGTGGATGATATAATTGTCCAGGTAGATGTATCCCTCAAGGCTTGGGAGATATACCAGCAGACGTGGCAAGATCTGAAATTGCTACCATCCTTAAACATGCTAAGAAACCCATTAGTAACATCAGAAAAGACGAGCGCTCTGAACTCGCCAAATTGAAAAAGAGAGAGGACATAGTCTTCCTCTCAGCCTACAATATCAATGCTACTGTCATCATGGATAAAACCACATACAACAACAACATCCAGGCAGTTACATCAAAATTTAAAAAGATCCTACTAACTGCCTGGCTACAAAAACCAACAATATCATTAACAATTCGACTTCTCTAATCAAACCATTCAAGTGGCTCTCCTTAAAACCTTCTGCTACTAGACCACCCAGATTCTATGGTCTTCCAAAAATCCATAAAGAAGGTACTCCACTTCGGCCCATCGTTACCACTATCAACTCACCTACCTACAAACTGGCCCGATTTCTGTCTGAGACCTTGCTTACATTCACGGGCAAGACTACCTCAATAGTACTTAACTCAGCTCACTTGGTCTCTCTAATCAAGGGCATCTCCCTGTCTCCAGATTTGCTTGTCAGCTTTGATGTAGTCTCTCTGTTCACCAAGGTCCCTGTGCCTGACACCTTAGCAATAATTGAAGACTTGGTCCAACATGGACTAAATCCTGATGTACCAACTTTGGTTAGGCACTGCCTTACCAACACTTTACCTGAAATGGTACTTTCTACAAAAAAAATGAAGGTACCCCATGGGTTCCCCCTTATCACCAGTGATAGCGAATGTTTTCATGGCGAAATTTGAAACAGATGCCATCCAGACATCCACCCTATGTCCTTCCTTGTGGAAGACATACGTGGATGAACAGTGGTGATGATGCCAGCACCACGATGTGAACGCCACTCTCACAGCGTCTCTCTACAAACAAGACGCCTGTACCAAAGCCGCCACAGCCTCGTACACTCTCACATCGACGCACAGACATTGTGTGTCACAGCCTCGCACACTCTCACATCTACGCACCCACATTGTGTGTCACAGCCTCGCACACTCTCACATCCACACACAGACATTGTGTATCACAGCCTCGCACACTCTCACACCTACACACACAGACATTGTGTGTCACAGCCTCGCACACTCTCACATCCACGCACAGATATTGTGTGTCACAGCCTCGCACACTCTCACACCCACACACACACATTGTGTGTCACAGCCTCGCACACTCTCACACCCACACACACATACATTGTGTGTCACAGCCTCGCACACTCTGACACCACGCACACACATTGTGTGTCTCAGCCTCGCACACTCTCACACCCACACACAGACATTGTGTGTCACAGCCTCGCACACTCCACACCCACGCACAGACATTGTGCGTCTCAGCCTCGCACACTCTCACACCCACGCACAGACATTGTGTGGCTCAGCCTCGCACATTCTCACATCCACACACACATATTGTGTGTCACAGCCTCGCACACTCTCACACCCACACACACACATTGTGTGTCACAGCCTCGCACACTCTCACACCCACACACACAGACATTGTGTGTCACAGCCTCGCACACTCTCACATTCACACACACATTGTGTGTCACTCCGCTGCTGGATGAGCGCCTTCTCGCGCCATGCGTGTCCTTGTTGGGGATCGTGAGCGTAGACATCCAGATGATTTGGGTGCTGCTCTAAATATCCACGTGATGAGCAACTTCGTAGAGCTGTCATTTGTGATAGTCAGGTCGCTTCCGAAAAAAGAGCGATAGGGTTCAGTGGGTTCCTTACCTGGTAAAATAAATGAAATGTTCATAAAGGCGGGGAGCACATAAGTGCAGGGCAACAGCGAGACACGGGGGTGCAATACTGAGGAACTCACAGACGAGAGGCAGGAGTCTGTGCATGGCCCTTTCAAGGGACCGGATCGTGGTGGCGTCCAGTGAAGTGGGAGGTGGGGGTGCAGATTCCTTTGGGATCTCTCTCCTGGGACAACCACCAACAGCATCACACAGCCTCGTTTAACCACAGCATTGGAACACTCAGCATCCATAGCAAACACAGCAAGTGTCTAACACATAGACCGTGTCTCAGACACAGCCCGTGTCTCACACACAGACAGTGTCTCACACATAGCCCGTGTCTCACACATAGACCGTGTCTCTCACACAGCCAGTGTCTTACACACAGCCCGTGTCTCACACATAGCCCGTGTGTCACACACAACCTGTGTCTCACACACACCCAGTGTCTCACACACAGCCCGTGTCTCGCACGCAGCCCGTGTCTCACACACAGCCCGTGTCTCACACAGCCAGTATATCACGCACAGCCTGTGTCTCACACACATCCCGCGTTTCACACACAGTTCATGTCTCACACAGAGACAGTATCTCACACAGTCAGTGTCTAACACCCACAGCCCGTGTGTCTAACACACAGAGCCCGTGTGTCTAACACACACAGCCCGTGTGTCTAACACACACATCATGTGTTGTGAGTGTTTAGCCGTGAAACGTTAATGATCTGTACCTGCGCGTCTCCTCCAGGTGCCCCTGTGAAAGAGAGAGAGATCATGAGTGAAGTCTCTACCCTTGGACCACAAGCCCCCCTGCCACTGCCCGCTCTGTTGTTCTGGACACCCAAACGGCGTCTCCACAGAGTCTCTCCCCACCTGCAGGAAGGCGAGCGAGTCCCTCTCGTGCAGCAGAGTGCGCAGGCGAGCGGCCGCCGCCTGGAGCTCGCTGATCTCCTGCTCGTGACGAGCAATTTCTTCCTCGATCCGGGACAGCAGTTCGCGCTCCTTCACGGCCAGGCGACGTAGAGCCTCCCTCTCATCCTCGTCCAGAGCCTTCCTTAGGCGGGTGAAATTGCCCGTGATGCGACCCCTGATCCCGGCCACCGATTCCTGCTGAGACGCGGGGACCACGGTTGGCTCCCTGAGCCATGAGCCACTCCGTGTGTGCGTGTAGGCGCCGTGGTGGCTCGGAGATGTTGACTCTTTCACCTGGTATACAGCAGGTCGGGGTTTGATACTGACCCTGACGCCTGTTGTATATTTGGAGTTCGTACGCTCTGTGGTTGTGTGGATTTTTCTCTGGGTCCTCCGGTTTTTGCCTCCACATTTAAGTTCAACGTAGTGCGTTGAGAGTATTTGCCTGCTACCAGTTTCCACATTACATTCAGCCAGTTTGTTGGGCTATCATTGGTAATAGCCAGGTCGCGTCTGGAAAGAACTACACAGCTCATTCCTGGTGAAATAAAAAATATTTTAGTCTATTGGTCTCTATGGGTCTCTATGTCTCTCTCTGGGTCTCTCTGTATCTCTATTTCCGCTTATGTATCTCTATGCATGTCTAGGTATCTCATTTGGTCTGGTATCTAGATCTATGGGTGTCTATGTATCGATATATGTACATTTGGCTGCTGCTATAAATTTGCACGTGATAATGATGATGTCAACCACTTGGTGGAGCGTTAATTTGTCATAGCCATGTCACTGGTAAAATAGTAAAATTATATTCCCTAGTGGTGCAACATGCCCCAGTGACGAGGCGCCCATGGAACTGAGACGACCCATGCCATGGGGACAGGAGGGGTGCGGCTCTTTTCTTGTTTCTCCCCTACAGGGCGCTGGGGTCGTGGATTTTGAGACTCGGACACACAGGGTCCGGTGGGGCCCCCCTCCTGAGTCCGACGAGATGTGTGGCGAGATGTTAACTTCCCCGCCTGGTATACAGGGATCGTGGCTTCGACCACGACCCTGATGCCTGCGTGGATTTTTCTCCGAGTCATCTGGCTTTTCACTCCACATCTCGAATCTGTGTAAACCAGGTCGGGTTTTCCCACAAGTCCGACTCGGGTTTAGAGTTCAAGGCATTTGTTTTCTGCAGAGACCAAGAGTGTCTCCGGGATCAAGCAAGCGTTTAGAGTACTGTATTTAGTGTCCTTGGCTGCTATCAATTTCCACCTGATAAGCCATTTAATTGAGCTATCATTCGTGATATTCAGGTTCCTTCTGCAAAAGAGCTACAAGGCTCAGTGGGGTCTTACCTGGTAAAATCAAAATAGTTGAGTCTATGGGTCTCTATATATCATTATTTGTCACTATGGATCTCTATATGTCTCGATGTATCTCTATGTGTCCCTACCTATTACTTTGTCCTTATATATCTCTATGGGTCTATATATCTCTATGTATCCCTATGTATGTCTGTGGGTCTGTAGGTATTTATTTGGGTCTCTTTGTACCTCTCTTCATCCCTATGTATCTCTATGGGTCTGCTGCTATATATTTCCACGTGATGATGATGTCAGCCACTTTGTTGAGCTGCTATTGTTTGTGGCAGCCAGGGTAGCTTCTGAAAAATCTACACAGCTCAGTGGGGCCTAACCTGGTAAAATAACAAGTATAACCCGTAAAAACAAAGTTTTTTCACTATAAATCCTTTATATGCGTGGCGGCTAGAGTCCTCTCGTCCTCTGGCTTGAGATGGCTGCCACCTATGGGTCAGATGATTGTCTGCAGTATTAAACAATTGGTAATTAAATATTTAATTTGTTTTCCCTAAACAGTGTAAAATTTTTGAAAAAAAATTTCACGAACATTAATTGTCTCGCACAACAAGTCTGTGTGCAAAATGTCAGCTCGATTGGATCACGGGAAGTGGGTTAAAAAACGACCGAAAGATTTGCACGGTCGTAAGCAAGCAAGCAAGCACGCAAGCACGCAAGCAAGCAAGCAAGCGAACTTAATATAAAGGATTTAAAAATAGTTGTAATTTAAATAAACTCTGGTGACGTGATTAGGGACGGCATGAGGTGCAGCTGTGCCCTATTCGTGCCTCTGCATCCATGCCGGTGCGCGACCTCCAGTGCAGTGCAACAGCTGCACCGCAGCTCCACCCCGACAATCCGTGGCACTCTCTACATCTTTTTTTGCCACAGGAGTGGAAGATGCAATGCCGAGTAACCCGACCTTGCGGCAGACTCGCCGATGTAGTTATCGAATGCGGTAAACGTGTAGTTAATGTTGAGTTCGAAAATAAATGATAGGGTTAGGAAACATCAAACTTATGAAGTTTACTTGAATTAATTTTCATCTCCATGACTTCCGCGCTGGGTGGAGGTCACAGGAGTCAAAGAGCCAGACTCGGACACGGTACCTTCGCCTCCTTGCGAGCTGCCTCCATCTGCTTCACGGACTCCTCCACCTCCTTCCTCTTCTCCTCAACCGCTCGCGTCTCCTCTTGTACGTGTGTCTGTAGTGAGAGACGAGACGTCACCAGGGGGAGACTCCAGCCCCCTGAGCCACCCCTCACACCGCCCTTCCCTCCACACTGACCCCTTCACAGCGAAGGCCCTCATCTCCACGTTGCCTTTGTACGGCGACTGAGACGGGGGTACGGGGAGTAAGCAAGCTGATGCCTCGTTGTATCAGCAGCCAGTGGGAGCCTGCTGGCTTAGTGTCCGTACCGACTCGGACCCATGGGCCCATGTGCCCACAGCTGTCTAGTTTTAAAGATAAATCTACTAGAATTGTTTCTCAGGTGGCTGTGATATCATCCTCAAATATCTATCCAATTAATTACTTTATACGGCAATTATATTTAATGAAAGCCTAGGATTCAGTACATCCTGAGGCTCTTTCCTGAAATGCAAACCAGAGATTAGCAGAGACAAAGATTCAATAGGGAGAGCATGAACACACGATAGTTTTTTTTTATCAGATGTTATGTAGCCGAGTGACAGCATTGGTCAGATCGTGTTATGGTGTCTCGCGCTGAGGGCCTCACCTTCCGTGTCTCATGCTCGTCCTTCAGTGTCAGGACCTTGTGTCCTGCGTGTTCACCTGTGATAGTGCAGGTAGAGCAGACCAGGCTGCTGTCTACTGTGCAGTAGAATTCCAGCTCCCTGCTGTGATTAGGGCATCTTCTCTCATCCAAGCTCGCAGAGGGATCCACCACAGCGTGGTCTCTCAACCTGGGATTCCCTAGGTGAGGCCTAAAGTGAGAAAAACAGTATGACATCTCGCATCTCAGGCAAGTCTTCACTGCAGGAGTCTGGCCATCACTGCAGATGTCACACACGACAGCCGTGGCCATCGCGTCTCCAACTCTGAGCTGCTCTGCCAGGTTGTCGAGGGCCACGTTCCTCTTCAGCTGGGGTCGCACAGGGAAGGTCGCTCGGCACTGTGGGCAGCTGAAGCTGCTCGCTGTCTTCCAGGCGGCCTCCAGGCACCGGAGGCAGAACGAGTGTCCACAGCTGAGCGTGGAGGGGCAGACGAACGTGCCCAGGCAGATGGAGCAACGCATCTCACTATCCACACTCTCACTGGGCGTCGCACTAGCCATGACTCATAGGCTTCGCTGAGATCGCTCACTGTGTGGCTCAGAGAGACGCTGAACCAGGACCTCTTATAGCGACAGCGAAGAAGGAAGTAACATACTAAAATGTTTCATTGTCGTCACTGACATCACGAGACACTGCCTGGAATGTGAAACCATGCCCCTAGGTACGCAACAGCAGCCTCAAGGTGAACACGGATATTGTACACACATTGACATTTAAAGAAAGGAGTGTTGTTAATATAAATCGGCGTGGCTCAGCTGCTGTGGCTCATTCATGTGATGAGTATCGAGAGATAAACCCATCTTTCCAGAGCTCAGCGCACAATTTGGTGTCTCTGGTAAGAAAGAGCAATTGATTGGGTGCCACCGTGGCTACGATATGTTATATCGCTCGCATTATGGCTGCTTTATATTTAAAGTCTTTCTCTCTCTCCCCTTGGTCGTGGGAATATGTATCTGGGTCCTCCGGTGTACCCTCCATTTAGAATCCATATCACGGATTCATAGCATTTGGCTGAAATCAATTTCCATATAAGCCACTTCATTGTAATAGCCAGGTCGCTTCTGACAAAGAGCCACATAGCACAGTGAGCCTTGCCTGGTAACATTAAAACTAGTTTTTGTAGTTGTAGATATCTCATGATGTGCTGTAATTCCATCGCAGTCTAATTACTCCAAGGTGACGAGATTCTTGAATGTCATTGTGGCATCCGAGATGGAATTTGTAGCCTCCCGTGACCCATCCTGGAATCTTGAGCCTTTTGCCAGCAGTTTGAATTTATCACCAACTCTACCTGCCTCCATCACCCAATGCTGGCGATGACACCATCTCTCACTCTCACCTTGTCCGAGATAGGAGATTCCCATTCCGACCATTCCCAGCCACACCCACCACCTATTTCACCTGCGTTGTTTCATATTCGCATGATCAGCTATTGTACACGCGTCCTCCATCCGTCTTTCTACATCCCCCTCCCCTCCCAAAGTGGTCCGGGCTTTGCTCATCACACCACCTCTAGCGTGTTGAGGCACAGTGTGGTGCGATGCACAGGCATCTTGGCAGCTAAACAAAGCCTGATGGCTGCTCTTCAAGGTTTATCAGAAGAACCATAAGTTAAATTCCCTGAGTCGAGCGCATTGAGCTAAACAGTTATTTTTAAAGGGGGTTTCGGCTGGCAGATATCTTCAAATAATTACACAAGTACACAAAGACAAATATTTCCTGATTAAACAGACTGTTGGGGCAAGTGCTGTTAGCGAGCACCTATGAAGGCCGGCACTGCACACAAGGGGGTGGGTGGCCAGCACCACGCCCGGCCGCCTTTGTCTCTCTAGTGGCGATGTTTTTACACACCACACCAGGTACTCATTTGAGGCTGAGTTGACCTCGGGGAGGCCCAGTACCAGTTCAGTTAATCGTCACTGGTGTTGGCCGTGAGCAGAAATTAAACTCAGGTGTCCAGGTTCATAGCACAGCATGCTAACCACAACAATTACACACCCACTCACACACACTCACTCGCCCACACGCTCTGGTGGCTTACTAACTGAACCGGATGAGTTTTGCGTTCAGGTGACAGCGGGTGGATGCGTTGTGCATGGCTCGTACGAGTGCCAGAACCGGCGAGATCTGTATTTCTGGATGGGGGTGTTTTTGTTGCAATCAAGTTGATGGGTTGCATTTTGAAGGCATTTTTTTTCAATCTCCATGATGCTCATTGTTTATTTTTGCCATGCGTCAATCGGTACCCTGGGCACCCACTGCTGCTAATGAGGTTCCACCTTGAGGGACATTTCCCAGATGAAATATTTTCATATTTTTTACCACACTCACTGCATTGAAAACGGTGGTCATACAACGCGTGGTTAACTTACATCGGGGCCAAAAACAAGTCGGCTCAGCTTGTGGCAAATCAAATTACATCCATACTCTTGGTTCTTTTGGTAAAGTCACGTAGGTATGAATACAATTAATTAAATCACGATGTTTCGGGCGCAACACAAGCGTCCGTCATCATGCGCCCGAAACGTCGTGATTTAATTTATTTTATTAAAGACCGAAAGAACCAAGAGTATGGATCCCTGCAGTCACGAAAACTTCAAATCTAGATCAAATTACATCCGTTAAGGAGCACCGAAATACGCAATGGGAGCAAATGTAGTTCAAACAAAGAGAACTCGTCCACCACTGGCATCCCAGTTTGATTGTTTTTTAACGGTTTAAACTATTTATTATTCATTTTATTTACGACCTATATATTTCTCACGCTATATATCAATTGCGTATGGTTTCACCTTATTTTAGCCATTCAGAGTTAGCCGCTGAGGTCGTGACGAGATTATCTTTTCATTATTGTTGCTCTATGCCCTCGCTACTGTCTCCGTCCTGCTGTAATTTTCACTGATGCCTACTTCAGTGAAGGCGATATTGGCCAAGTAGAATACAAATCGATTGACCAACGTTTTGGGGCAGTGAGGTGGCCTTGCGTCAGTGCTTGCCACTTAGTTTCTGTGGTTCCACGACTGGGGGTTCTGTCACCGCCACTGCTCTGTCTACTGCACAGTCGACGTTCACCATCCTCGGACATCATTCACAAGGGTAGGCCCATTGTACACGAGTGTCACTTTTCTAAATTCCCAAAAAATGACACCGCAAATTTTTACTATTTTTAATTTACTCGGTAATGTCGACAGACAAATTCCATCTCAGATGCCACGATGACATTTAAGCAAGTTGGTATTTTGGGGAAATTACCCGGAAATGGAATTACAGGACATCATGATATATCTACAACTATACCAACTATTTATTTTACAAGATAAGGCTCACTGAACCATGTATCTGTTTTTAAGAAGCAACCTGGCTATCACATACGATAGCTCAACGATGTGGCTTATTATTACGTGGAAATATACAGCAGCCAAATACTCTGACCATGTGTTGATTCTAAATATGGAGCGAAAAACCGGAGGAATCCAGATAAAAATCCACAAGATCAAAGAGAGAGAGAGAGAGAGAACATGTGAACCCACGACCTCCTGCATATACGGCAAGTGAGATAACATCTCACCACTACGGCAAGATGTTATCTCAATTGTGATTGGACACAGCACCTGCAATCATCGCCTGCTACAGGCAGACTCCTGCACCAGTTTAAGCTTGCAGATGAGACGCATTCTGGTCTCTCCAGTTCTCGGCAGGTTAAGCTTTGAATTCATTTTCACGTTCCCACCTGGTGACAATCAGAAAAAAAATCAAAGGGGTTACCGAAAGAGAGTTGATGAGGAGGGTTCTAAAATATATTAGGCAGGGGACAGGTCAAGTTTCCTGGATAGTTTCAGATATTGTGAGTATAGACTATAGAGGCTAAGAGAATGGTCACCAATCTAGACTTGATGTAGACACCCACACATGCACAGACCCAAAGAACAGATCGAGTCTCCAAAACCCACTCAGAGGAACCCGTAGACTTGTAGAGACCCATTGACGAACACTGCAGTGGGGCAGCGGCGCATGCTGGGAGCACTAAGCTCTTGGAGTGAAGCGAGCAGGCTGGAGGCAAGGGTTGGCGGATCACAAACTCAAAAACGTCATTACCTGCGGGCATTGAGATGGCATACTGGCAGTACAGCAAGTGAACAAGTGTCTTCTGTACAGGGATTGTTATCGCCCAATCTTGACTACATTGGTTTCCTTCACATGGTGGTGAGATGTTAACTACCTCGCCTGGTGCAGAGGAGGTCGTCGGTTTAGTCCCGACCCTGATGCTTGTATATTTGGATTGTGTAATCTACCCCGTGGTCGTGTGAATTTTTGTTCGGGTCCTCCGGTTTTTCCCTCCACATTTAGAAACATGCATTTAGAGTATTTGGCTGTTGATGAGCCAATTCATTGAGCTATTATTTGTGATAGCCAGGTCGTGTCTGAAAAATGGCTACATAGCTCAGCGGGCCTTACTTGGTAAAATAAAAAAATGTTGTTAAGTTTTTATAGACGCTAATGGAGTTGACCAAACATCAAGGAATAGGGCAACAGCTTGGAAAAATGATGACGCCTGTGTTTTTGCCAGGTGGCTATTCAGGCAGTATATGAATTTGGTTGCAAGGGCAAGAACCTTGCCTCCTAGCATCCTATTTTGTCTTTCAAGTTGTGGGCACAAGCAGGTAATAATCCTATAGCTGTGCATTTACAAGGCAGTTGTAAGACCGAACCAATAATCACAGTCTTATACTAGTCCGAGTCCTCTTTGCCGCATCAGTCTGTGATGTCCAGCGTGCACTTGAACGGTTTTATGCCGAGTACGAAGCGGATGGGATGAGGATCAACACCTTCAAATATGAGGTCATAGTTCACTCCTGGGAGACGGTGGATTGCTCTCTCCAGGTGAGGGGGGAACAGCTGCCCTTGGTGTGGCAGTTTAAGAGCCTCGGAATCTATGTCACAAGTGATGGTAAGTTTGAACAAGAGATCGGCCGATGGGTTGGTATTGCGGGGACTTTACCCTTGCGAGGTAGTGAAGCGCGAGCTGATATCTCAAACTAAGCTCTCGGTTTATAGGTTGATATCCATTCCCACCCTCAACTATAGTCATGAGCTTTGAGTAATGACCGAAAAGATGATATCGTGGGTACAAAGGGCTGAAATGATATTTCTCAGCAGGGTTGCCGGGCTCAATGTCCGTAAACGGGTGAGGAGTTCGGTAATCCGGGAGAGGTGCAAAGTCGAGCCACGGCTCCTTCAGATCAAGAGCCATTTGGGGTGGTTCGGGCACCTGACAAGGATGCTCCCCGTTAGACTCTGCCTGGAACTCTACCGAGCACATCCCACTGGGCGACGACCCCAGGGGCGGCTCAGGACATGCTGGTGGGTCTATATCACTCGGCTGTCCTAGGAATGCCTGGGAATACCCCAGGAAGAGCTAGAGTCTGTCGACAGCGAACGGGAGGTCTGGACAGCCCTACTCAACATGCTGCTGCCGCGACCCTCACCCAGACAAGGGATT